CCACAACCTCCGCCTCCTGGGTTCAGGCAATTCTCCTGCCTCAGCCTCCTGAGTAGCTGGGGTTACAGGCACGCGCCACCATGCCCAGCTAATTTTTTTTGTAGTTTTAGCAGAGACGGGGTTTCACCATGTTGACCAGGATGGTCTTGATCTCTTGACCTCATGATCCACCCGCCTCGGCCTCCCAAAGTGCTGGGATTACAGGCTTGAGCCACCGTGCCCGGCAATAGTTCTACAAATACTTATTGAACACATATTCAGATCCTCTCTTAGGCATTGGTAATAAAGTGTTAGATAAGATAAATCCAGACCTAGTCCCCACACTTATAGAACTTAACATTCATGTTAGACACTCACCAAAAGGAGGTAGGGGTACCAAATGACGTGTGAGTTAAGGCTTGGGGAAGAAATGCAATCACACAAGTAATTCATTATTTACAAATGTGGTAAGTGCTATTAACCTGACTTGGTCTGGAGTATTCAAAAAGTCACCCCTGAAGAAGCAACATTTAAGCTAGGACCTAAAGAATGGATATGTGTGACCCACAAGCAGAAGTGCAAACTAGAAATTCTGTGAGAAGAAGCAAGAGTAAGGATGAAGGACCTAATGCGGAAGTGACCTTGAAGGATGGAGAGAAATCTTTGAGAAAATATTTAGGAAGATGACTAGATATGAGTTTGAGTATACAGTATGCTCTATTCTGTCCCTATGACAGTTACACAATACTATAAACATTGGCAAGAGAAGAAGGGCAGAAGTTGGCAAGGGGGAGGCGGAGAAGTAAGAGGGAAAATGGAAGTGAGATGTGCTGGGAGGGTCTTTCTAGAGGCCTGTTCTGGGGCCTCTACCACTCTCTCTCCCCCGTCTCAGCCGGCACCATCATCATACATCTCTTTACTGATGACCAACACATGTACTGCTTCAGCCTTAACGTCCCCTCTAACCCATACATATATCTAACTACTTAATTTGATATCTTCACCTGAATGTCTAGTAGCTATCTCAAAATAAAATGGCCAACCGGAGCTCCTGATCTGTCTCTCAAACGCAGACCTGCCCTAGTCTTGCAATCTTCTCAAAGGAATCACTATTCACCCTGTTTCTCAAACCAAAAACCAGGCATCCTCCTTGAATTCTCTCATTCCCACACTCTCACACCCTCACATCCCAATTCATCAGCAGATCAATTCTATCTCCAAAACATCCAAAATCAGGCCATCTCTCTTCCTCTCACTGTTACCATCTCTGGCCAGAATCACCTCCTGCACCAGCCTCCTGACTAGTCTTCCTGCTTCCTCTACACTTGGCCCCCACCCCTCATTCTGTTACCTCTAAAGCACAGGGTGCTCTTGCTTAAAACTTTCTAGTGATTTTTGTAGCACTTAGAATAAAACTGAAAGATCTAAACCTTGCCCTGCAAGATCCACCTCTATACCAAGCTCCAGATATGCTTCCTTTTTTGTTACTTGAACACCCAAGACAAAAATTCTCTTTTTTTCACATTAGCTGTAGCTTTTACCTATAACGATCTTCTCGTCCAAGATAATTGCATTACTGATTTCTTCTTGTCATTCAGCTTCCAAGACTCAATACTGCCTCCTCAAAAAGACTATCTATAATTAGCCAATCTAAGGTGTCCTCTCATTCTCTCTCCACCATATTTCCCGATTTGATTTTTAACATAATACTTGTATTTAAATATTTTCTGGATTTGTTTTACAGTGATCTGTTCTCTGTCAAACCTTTCTGCTAAAATGTAGGTTTTATGAGAGGACAAGCCTTGTTCACAGGGATACTGAAGCATCCTCTGAGCATGATGTTCAGTAAATGCTTCTTGAATTAATGAACAGAGGCTGTTAAGAGTAAATAAAATAAGGACTGAAAAATACCATTTGATGTAGTGGACAAAAAGGCCACTGTTGGCTCTAGTAAAAGTCAGATTGAAGAGTTATTAGGATGTAGGGGGAAAAAATGAATACAGCAAAAAACCTAGACAATGCTTAGTGACCTAGGAGGAAGATGGGGAGAAGGTTTGAAACGGAGACATAAGAAACTAAGGGGAAAATTCTGAAATTGTTGTTTCACTAAAAAGGCTAGTATAGGCCGGGCGTGGTGGCTCAGGCCTGTAATCCCAGCACTTTGGGAGGCCGAGGTGGGTGGATCACGAGGTCAAGAGATCGAGACCATCCTGGTCAACACGGTGAAACCCCGTCTCTACTAAAAATACAAAACATTAGCTAGGCATGGTGGTGCGTGCCTGTAATCCCAGCTACTCAGGAGGCTGAGGCAGGAGAATCATTTGAACCCAGGAGGCGGAGGTTGCGGTGAGCCGAGATCGCGCCATTGCACTCCAGCCTGGGCAACAAGAGCGAAACTCCATCTCAAAAAAAAAAAAAAAAAAAAAAAAAAAAAAAAAAAAAAAAAAAAAAAAAAGAAAAGGCTAGTATATTTACATGGTATTGGGGTAAAGCTGAAAATATTATAAAAAGAAGAAACTAATTTTTTTTCCTTTATGTGATAGGTAGGCATGACAACATGCTTTCAAATCATCAGACCTACTGTCAGACTATGAGGAATATGCCAAATTACCCACATGACAGAAAAACAGGTATAAAAGAAGATCTGGCTTTACTTTGCAAACTCACAGTCGTTCATAAAGAGCTCCCAGAAATAAAATAATCATTCTTCCAAATCCTTAATTTCTATGTGAAGTCTTTCTCAAACATCGGCTGCCTGCTCATACTAAGAAGCTCTATAACTTGCCTCTTATCCCGTGCTCTACACTTCAAAACTCTGGGCTTACACACTAGCTCTTTTTTGAAATGGTATCATCTTTTTCAAGGTAAAAATATTCTGTTATTCATGAGAAAGCAGCCACAGTTGAAATTCACTTGCTCAATGAAAACTACATTAGTCAACAAACAAACTGCTGAAAAAGGATCAGTTAACAAGCATTTACAGAGCAACTTCTAAATCTAAACTCTACACTAAGTGCTCTGGGGGACGTCAAAGAAATAGAAGACGACATAATCCCTGGCTTGCAAGGCACTTACAATCTAGCTTTCACTTAAATACAGTCCTAGGAAAGTACTGACAAAGGTAAGTTTATAATACATTTTACCAAAAGTGCTCAAGAAATAATTACGGTTTTCAGAAGGCAGAGTCAGGCCTGATCAGTGAAGTAAATACAATCAATAAAGGAATGTAGCTTATTTCATAAGTTAGTAGACTGTCTATAAACTCACCTGCTGAATATCTAGGCTGGTGATATCCATATGTACAATGAGAGCTTCCACATTTTCCATTAATTTTTTATCTTGGAAATGAACAATCAAGTCTTTCATTACTTGGGGTGTGATTCCCACCAATTTATCACTTAAAATATATGGCTCAAGGCACTCCAGAAATACTCCTTTGGCCACTGAATTCTCACTTAATTTATCATACATTTGACTAAATAAAAGATCCCTGTAACAGAAAGGGGGGAAAAAAAACTTTTAGGAACATGCCAAGTATCCATTAAATTTAGCCTCCCAAGTATATCTCTTTTCCCTATTTCAGCTTACTCATGAGTTTATTTAAAATGGTAATAATATTCACATAGAGCTTTATATTGTAAAAAATTTATATAATCTCAATTAATCCTCCCAACGCTTCTTTAACAAATAAGAAAAGGTAAGATAAATTGTTTGCTCACAGTGACATATCTAACAAACAAGAGAGTCAGAATTTGAACCCAGCCTTCAGGCCTAAATCCTGTGCTCAGTCTATTGCGACACATTGCTTCTTGAAGACAACACTGACATGGGAATGGATAACTGGGTGGACATAATGAAGCAGGAAAAAAACGCAAAAAGGACTACTCAGGCTTTCTCCTTCCCTCCTTCCTGCTACTTAAATAGTCCTAGCTGACCTGCACAGTCAATATGCTTCTTTGTCTAGCTATAACTCTGCATCCCAAAATGTTTGGCTAGTGATTATTCATGGAAGAAGAAAAAAGAAAGCTTAATACTTAAAACATAAACCTAGAAACAATTTTATTGCAGAAACAAAAATTGTTTTGTTTTGTTTTGAGACAGAGTTCTCACTCTGTCGCCCAGGCTGGAGTGGAATGACGCGGTCTCAGCTCACTGCAACCTCCGCCTCCTCCCGGGTTCAAGCAATTCTCCTACCTTAGCCTCCCAAGTAGCTGGGACTACAGGCACGTGCCACCACGGCCAGCTAATTTTTGTATTTTTAGTAGAGACAGGGTTTCACTATGTTGGCCAGGCTGATCCCGAACTCCTGAGCTTGTGATCTGCCTGCCTTGGCCTCCCAAAATGCTGGGATTAAAGGCATGAGCCCCACACTTGGCAAAAACTGTTTTAAATTACTTTAAATGTCAACACCATACACAATGTTTATTCCACATTTCTGTAAATAACCCATACATAATTTGAGTTATACTGAGCATAGACAGAATTCTGAATTGTTTTCATACATTACATAAGCATTATTCTAAGTTGCTATTTATTCTTTGAAATTACCATTTTGTCTAACTCACAATGCTTCAATATGTTGAAAATCAGAATTTACTTAAGTGTTGCTGTACTGTTAGATATATTACTTATTTCCAGTATTTTGAGTGATACTACAATAAACATCTACATGTAGTCTTTCCCATTTGAGGGCTTAATTCCTGAAAATCATTCAACTTTTAGAAATTTAAGTGAAAAGATAAGAAAAAATCCGTGGCACTTGAAATGTGCTATTAAATTATCTTCAAAAAGCATCACAGCATCAATTGATGCTGCCATCTGCAATATATAATCATACCAGTTTCACTAGATAACAGTAATTTTGGTTTTTCTCCCCTGACAATTTAATAATTCTTTTATGAATGTTCAAATTGAGCATTTTCCATGTTTTCACTTATAAATTGTATTGCCTTCTATCATTCACTTGTTTATTCCATTTTTTAAAAAAATACAAAAACTGCTTAAATTTTATTTACCTGTTGAGATTATTTACTTTTTTCTAAATGTGTAATTCCTTTATATGTATGTCATGTCAGTTGTGGAAAGTGGTCAGTGGTTTATTCACAGGTGTGGTCTTTAATGACAAATTCCACAAAAACGTCAAGGAAGCTCCTGAAAGGACTAGGGTTGGGCTTTGCCTCATCTTGAAGTCGTGGAAAAGACACTAGCCACAACTGCACCAGAACTACACACCTCCCTTCAATTAACAGCACCTGCAATATTTGGGGGAAAATCCATAGCCATTTATTTCTTTCTCAAATGTGCAAATGTAATTTTACATAATTTTCCCCCTTCATTTCATATTTATCAAAATATTTTCATGTCAGTTTCATTTGCAGCAGTAATTCATTGGCCGGGCGCAGCAGCTCACACCTGTAATCACAGCACTTTGGGAGGCCGAAGCAGGTGGATCACGAGGTCAGGAGTTCAAGACCAGCCTGACCAATATAGTGAAACCCCATCTCTACTAAAAATACAAAAATTAGCCAGGCGTGGTGACACATGCCTATAATCCCAGCTACTCAGGAGGCTGAGGCAGGAGAATCGCTTGAACCTAGGAGGCGGAAGTTGCAGTGAGCCCAGATCGCGCCATTGCACTCCAGCCTGGGTGACAGAGTGAGACTACGTCTCAAAATATAATAATAATAATTCACCATATTTTTGCGATGACCAATTACTAGCCAAGCAAAAGAAATGGTGATTAATGGAGTTTTACTGTAAGAAAGAAAAAGAGTAACAAGATAACTAATGATTCAAAGAAAATGTGAGATTTGCTAGTCCTTGTGCTCTGTAATGTGCTGTTAAAAGGAACATGCTAAAAAAGATAATTATATACTTTAGTTCAGTACAAAACACCTTAGGGAGAGAATTAAAGAGAGCTAAAAATTCAGTAAAGGCTACACAAGTTAAATAAGGCACTCCTGGGACAAATGGCATGTAATGCTGGTAAGATTAACGGCAAAATCACACATTTCTTTCTTAACCAATCAGAGGCTGTAATATAAAGAAGCAAGAAAAATAAGGCTCAGCAATTCCCATTTGCATCTCTACCTTAAAATAAAAAAACTGTTTAATTCAATGACAGATTTTCATCATTCTGGGAGAATATTTATTAGTGCATCAGGAAAGAAGGGAGGTAAAAAAGTACATACAGGCCAGGCAGGATGGCTCACGCCTGTAATCCCAGCACTTTGGGAGGCCGGGCGGGGAGGCTCACGCCTGTAATCCCAGCACTTTGGGAGGCCGGGCGGGGAGGCTCACACCTGTAATCCCAGCACTTTGGGAGGCCGGGCGGGGAGGCTCATGCCTGTAATCCCAGCACTTTGGGAGGCCAAGGCAGGTGGCTCACTTGAGGTCAGGAGTTGGAGACCACCCTGGCTAACATGGTGAAACTCCGTCTCTACTAAAAATACAAAAATTAGCTGGGTGTGGAGGCACGGGCCTGTAGTCCCAGCTACTGGGACGCTGAGGCAGGAGAACTGCTTGATCCTAGGAGACGCAGGTTGCAGTGAGCCGAGATCACACCACTGCACTCTAGCTTGCGCAGCTCAGTGAACCACTATCTCAAAAAAAAAAAAAAAAAGAAAAGAAAAGAAAAGTACATACAAAAATTTTAACTCTCATGTTTCTTTCTATATTGAGGCATTATTCCCCAGGGTGCTGACTTGGATTACTAGAAGGGCTGACTTCAGAACTGCTGTTATTGCTTCAAGCTCAGCCTCGCTATGGCCAGTGTAACAGAAACTCCATCGTGAGTAACAGAGGACCAAAGAGATCTTTCTACAAACTTCACTTTATAATACTGCTCACATTAAAGATATTTTTGAAGTTTATAATTTCTAATTTCACAGGGAGGACAGCTGTTAAATTTAACTTTGTACATTATCAATTTCCTACTTTTTTAAATGTGAAGAACTGCTTTGGTTATGAGATAATTACAAATTTAGAACCATTTGATGGGAACAAGGGCATCAATTCTGACACTTGCCAGTCTACACTAAATATATAACCAGAACCAAGTAAGTAAATTCCCACCAAATACAAGTGGTATTTAATAAATCTAAAGTTGATTTGGGCTGGTTTCCTTATTTGTAAAAGTAAAAGCAAAATTCAAATGAATTTTAAGAAATTATGTTCAAAATGCTCTGTTTGCTGACACAAGCACCACAGTTTGGAAAGATTTCCTTTAAAAAGGCACATGGTGATAGTTAAACAAACTGTGAATATACTATAAACTACTGGCCTGTATACTTTAAAAGGGTGAATTTTATGGTATGTGAATTATATCTCAGTATAGCTATAATAAAATTAAAACAGCCTTTTTTCCCCTGGCTTTGATATTAGCTTGGCGTGAAAGTAATTGCAGTTTTTGCCTAACGACAAAATTCTCAATTACTTTTGCACCACCCTAATAAAATTTTAAACATTCAGTTCCTGGACAAGTCTTGATATTTAAGATCTTTCTGTTTCTCAAACAATAGTCCTGATGTTGAACAACATTTGTTCTCTTTGGATTTAACAGAAACATTTTTGGTTCAGATGCAGACATCACACCGGCCACTGGAATGATGGCTTCTGAACAACTGTCAATATTGTTTACGGTGATATAAACTCAAAGTGCGCAGTATCATCTATGAAGAGCACCAATTTGGCTTTTAAAATAACTTCTTTTTTGCTATATAATTCACATATAATTACATAACACCTATTTTTAAACAACGTTCAAAATTATAATTATGGTTTACATAAACTCTGGATCTATTTTCAAAGTAAAACTGGTACTAGGGCTATCACATATATGCTAATATATAGCCTATATTTTGTATAGGTAAAATGACAAATCAGAAGTATCCTACAAAAAGCCTTAAGACATTCTGTGTCTTTTGTCCAATACTGAAAAAAAGTACAAAAAACCAAATTGAAGTGAAATTGTGGAACAGAGATCAAATTATGAAAATAAAGTATAAGTCTTCAAAAACAGACTTCCTGTCATGTCTGATATTAAGTAATTTACAAAAGACTCTAATGCCAAATTGTAGCCAAAATAGATGTCCATAAAAATTTAGTAATATTTAGCCAAAATAGATGTCTATAATGTATTTAGCCCTACAGAGAAAAACAAATGTGATTACTGCCACATCGTAAAAATGATTTTACATTATAAAAGAATTATTAAATATAAATAGGAATACACACGTATACTAGTTTAATTAATATTACTGAAGGGTATTGAATTCTCTGAGTTATGAAACTATGAGGTAACGGTGATTACAGTGTAATAATGGTGGTGGCACTAAGTCAAAATTAATTTCAGAGCATGTATTATGTTTACAATTTCACCCACATAAGAAACAACATAATATGTGAAAATAAAAGGACTGCCTAGAAAAACGATGTACTCAATCAAAGACGTAACATAAAAGGAATCTGGGGAACAGGATTGAGTGTCTGAGTAGTGACCCTGGAAGTGGAAGAAGTTCACTGAAATTGGCTGGCTGAGTACTAGATTACATTTTGTAAGACTGTATTTGTATTATGCAAAATCTGAGCATTCCTTAAAGCAATGTTAATGTCACAGATACTTTGCAAATATGGAAATGTAGAAGAGAAGACTCTAGACATACATAGGACCAAATGTCACAAAGGATAGGATAAAGAGTGTCCAGTTTAAGAGTTTAAGGAGAAAAATACTATACTGGAATGAAGCTACTTCTATCTGACAATCCTCTGCTACAATGTAGCACAGCGAACTGATCATTTTTAACCTTATTATCTATGGCAACTCTAAGAAAATACATTTTTTTTTTTTTTTTTTGAGATGGAGTCTCACACTCTGTTGCCAGGCTAGACTGCAATGGTGTGATCTCGGCTCACTGCAACCTCTGACTCCCTGGTTCAAGGGATTCTCCTGCCTCAGCCTCCCAAACAGCTGGGATTACAGGTTTGTGCCACTACATCCAGCTAATTTTTGTATTTTTAGTAGAGATGGGGTTTCACCATGTTAGCCACAATGGTATTGATCCCCTGACCTCATGATCCGCCTGCCTTGGTCTCCCAAAGTGCTGGAATTACAGGCGTGAGCCACCACACCCGGCAGAAAAAATATTTTAGAACTCTACCATTTAAGTGGTTACACTGAACTGTTTAATTAAACATAGAATTCTTACATCTAATAAATCTTTGGTCGTTGCATGTTTGAAATGGAAGGGAACTGAAAGCTGGTCTAGGTGGAAACTGTCTATCAAATGGCTTATTCAACCTTTCCTTCTAAGCTCAGGCCCACATACAGAAGAATCTTAACATTCTGATGAAAAAGAAAAGCCAGTATGGTGAGAAGCAAGCAAGCACAACTCAGATCCAGAACAAAGGAGGGAACATTTGACCCAATGTCTGGCTTCACAGCCCCAACCTTTCCCACATCTCTTGGGAATGCTGCCCTCCCCCTTTTTCTCCTGTTAGAACCTAAAGACCAGAAGTAGGGAAAGAAACAAGGAGGGAAAGAAAGAGAGAATATGAACACATATGCTGGAACTTCTCCCAAGCAGAGGCAAGATCTAGTACAATCTAGGCTTCAGCGTTAGAAAGCAGGATTGAGAGAGAGAGGGAAGCCATATGCTGTTTGTCCTGTGGTCCACGGAAAACGTCCATGCCCTTGATCCAGGACTGTGTATGTAACAGCAGGAGGAGGAAGAAAGAAAAGAGCTATGAAAAGAACCAGGAAGAGCTGAACGCGGGAAGAATTCTCCTGCTCTTGGAGGTGAGGAAGATATACTATGACTGCTCTTGCTATTATTCCTCTCTGAGACCTCCAACAGCGAATATTCTATTTGTTTCTCACACAATAAAAAGAAAACATGCTAAGAAATCAGGAAAAATTAAAGAAGTTGACAAAAACAAAGAAATAATAAATAGATCCCAATTGATGAAAATCTAAACCAGATTTTATCTTCTACGTTATACGCTATGATTTAATACAGAAATTATTGCATTCTCAGCCAGTCAATAGGTGAAATAAAGTTAGAGAATATTCCCTTTTCAAATCATATAAAAAAGAAAAGCTTAACTTCAGAATATTTTAGGGAATAACAAAGTGTTTTGGAAAAACATAATCCATTTTTTTCTTTTTCCCTCTATAATCTTTCATCTTACGACTGTTAGGCCCAATTCAACTATACGCCACTGTGACAGTATTCTAGTATTCAAGATAACGATCCCAAGTCACCCTGCAAACCAGGAGGCAGGGCTGCTTCGTCAGTCCAACCCTCAGGCATTGAACAGCTACTTTGTGCCAGGTACCATTCTAGGTGGAAACAGTCCATTTTATAAAAATAAGCCTTTTTACTCTAAATAAAATGTAGTATTCAGGTACTTCACTTCATCTCATTTACAAATTAGCTCAATTTGAAGATCAGAGTTGATTCCAGTACTTATTAGTATCAGAAATACCTCTATACCTCCACTTCCTCATCTGAAAAAAAGGATAACGTTATCTCTCTTTACACTGTATTTGCAAGGGTTAAGTAAAATGTGTAAAACTGATTCATAAACTATTAAGGCTACTTTAAAAATACAAGACATGTAACAAGAAATTGAGTGTGAAAGGGAGGTAAAGAGAAAACTAATTTGAAAAAAGATAGGGCAAGGTTAGCAGATAAATCACGGCATTTTGCTTTCTAGGAAACCATGATTTGACTACACAATCACTGTCCATCAACTAAAAGTAAACTAGCTATTCAAGAGACACAAAGATATTTCTGGCCCTGACACCTGAAAGAGATTTCTCCCGTACGCCCTAGGCATAAAGAAGACAATGAGACAATGTGTAACATAAAGTAATGTTCTCAACAACATCCGAACTCTAAGCACAACGTGTTTCACGAACTAGAGTTAAAATACTGGAATAAATTTGAGCCTCAGGTAAGCAGAACTTACCATAGCTCTCTATGACTTAATCAAGGTCTGACATAGCAAATTATTGCCCGCTTGATAACCTTTACTGATACTTCAAAGTATAACCCAAACTTTTATGAATCAGGCTACTAGCATATATATAAATTCATGAGCCAAGTCGTGTTGCATAGGATTTTGGGAGTATCTACATTAAATCTTCACATTTCTTCTCTATCACTTAGATTTGTTCTCTATCACTTAGAAGGTGGTACAGGTTGGTTAGTTTATTTTCTATTTTATTTATTTTTGAGACAGGGTCTTGTTCTGTCACCCAGGCTGGAGTGCAGTGGTACAATCATGGCTTTGACTTCAAGTCAAGTCAGCCTTGACTTCTGGAGCTCAAAAGATCCTCCTGAGTGGCTGAGACCACAAGCACATGCCACTATGCCCAACCAAGTTTTTACACATTTTTTTTAGACACAAGCTATCCCTATATTACCCAGGCTGGTCTCGAACTCCTGGGCTCAAGGGATCCTCCCACCTCGGCCTCCCACAATGCTGGGATTACAGGGGTAAGCCACCATGTCCAGCCAGGTTAGCTAGTTTATATAGTTATGATTTAAACTAACAAAACCTAATCAAGAGTGTATTTATACTGATTTATTTTAAACAAAACAAAAATAGTACCACATAGGCATAATGTATCTAGCCTTTTTTGAGTAGTATAATTGTTCATCTAGTGATGGTTCATGAAAGTATATACACCAGGCCAGGCATGGTGGCTCACGCCTGTAATCCCAGCACTCTGGGAGGCCAAGGTGGGGAGATCACAAGGTCAGGAGTCGGAGACCAGCCTGGCTAACATGAAGCCCCGTCTCTACTAAAGATACAAAAAATTAGCCAGGCACGGTGGCACACATCTGTAATCCCAGCTACTTGGGAGGCTGAGGCAGAACTGCTTGAAGCCGGGGGGGGAGGTTGCAGTAAGCCAAGGTCAGATTGTGCCATTGCACTCCAGCCTGGGTGACCGGGCGAAACTCTGTCTGAAAAAAAAAAAAAAAAGTATATATACCAAAAAAAGGAGAGAGAGAGAAAGAGTGTGTGTGAGTGTGTGTGTGTGTGTGTGTGTGTGTGTGTGTGTGTGTGTTTGTATATACATACATATAAATAACACACTTTTTGCTTTTAAAGCCCGTAAGTAGTATTGCTCTTTTGTTAGTTATGTTCTTTACCTCCAATATCCTGCCATGCAGACAAATAAATGACATATCCTTAGCATCTGTCTTGGAAAAGTTAATTTTATTAGGTAAATGAACTGAAAACTGTTAAAGAATCAAATTTCTATAAATTAATATTTTTAAACCTATTCAGGCAAATTCTCAGAATTCATAGCAATGGTTTATACATAAACAAGAGGCTACCTGGGTTCAAAATAATTGAATCTGACAGAAAATGCATACTCACTTTCGCTGCAGCAGAAGACAGTAATCAACTATGACAGGCACCATATCCTGCAGAGGAACCATAAAGAAAGCGTCAGCCCCGCAACCCTGTCCAGTGGCTCACGGATAATGACAGCAGTCTGCTTAAGATGCTATTATATTGTTAGGAGGATAGAACTTTATATTATGCTTTTGGTAAGCAATTTGGCATTATGTGTCAAAGTCTGAAAAACAGAACATTTTGACCTAGTCATTCTATTTCTGGAAGTGTACCCTACATGTGTTTAAGAATAAAAATTATTTTAATGCATTAAGGTGTTCATTGCATCTTTATAACAGAGGAAGCAGAAGAAGGAGAGGAAGGGAAAATGGGAAATAAAACAATGAATTAAATTCAACAACATGGGAAAATATTAAGTAAATTTTGTTATTTAAAATACTAGATATATCTTACAAGCTTATAAAGAGTTACAGTATCATTAAAATAAATACTAGGTGAAAATATGTTATTTGTCTCACAGATTTGTAAAGAAAACTTGCAAAGAAAAAAGAAAAGCAGAATAGATCAAATTGATAATGGGATCCAGCTGGTCCTGCTGGTGGCTCAGGTGATTAAGGTTACCCATATTTGGTCACAATCCTCCAAATCTGCTATTTTAACATGATTTAACTTCTCAGTTTCATAATATTTTTATTGCTTTAAATTCATCATGTACAGACTCATATCAAGTAAATGGCAACCCATGATTTTGGCTCTTTTCAAAGGAAAGAGTCTGCGGGAAAACAGTAGCTTATTATGTATGACTCGACACTGTCAAGCAACCAAGCATCAAACTTCAGCAGCATTCTTTCCTTTTCTGCTGGCTACAGGGAAATGGTTTCCTTTTAAAAACCCTGGAGGGGTTATGTTCTAGGCAGAAATCTCATCACGAGGGAGAAGGCGCTATGTGAAAAAGTGCTCTACATACTAACACGCGTCTGATAAAAAGGTCAAAACTAAGGAACTCTTATTATTCGAGAGGTGACTATGGAAGGGCTACAATCCTGCAAGGATTACAGGGCTACTCCTGACCCACCCTGCTTCCTTTAATTTTGAATATGACTCATGACTACATTTAGATTTGATTCTTCAAAAACAGGAAGGAAACTTATAGATTTGGAAAGTGTTAGAGCTATATCAAATCTCAGCCCTGAATGAGAAGACAGTGGGCTAGGTAACAGGGAGCTGGTGGCAGGAGGACTTCCCTAGAAATGCTAGAGAAAATAAACATCCTTTCAAATCCACAGCTGAGCTCCTGAGCCAGTAAGGGCAATACCCAGGTCTAAAAGTAAAAAGGGAACTGAAAACCAGAACAGGAAGTTCCCAGCTGTTATTGACCTTACCCCGCAGGTTTGTTGGTCACGGAAGAGCTTGGGTTTTAATGCCAGAAAGCAGCTGAGGCCTTAAACCCTTTTAAACAAAGGGAACGGAAGCAGAGGACCTTCCTAAAACTGGGATTCTTAAAAAGCTGCATCCTCAAGGAAAGGAAATTAGAAAAAAAAAAATCTGCCTGATGAGATAGGAGATGACAGGGAAGTTTGTCTGTCTCAGCCGGGGCTCAGAGAGGGCAAATTTATACTCACCAAGGATCTGTAACAAAGGCCCTGTCTACGGTAGAGCTGGGATTTGAATTTATGCAATCTCCTTAGCATAGGAACAACTGAGCCAAGGGGTTCACATAAAAAGTGATCCTGAAAAAGGATATTCCTCAGAGACTTGAAAGAAACAAGTTCAAAAACTCCCCAGAGATCGCCCCAAACACAGGTAAAATAACTACCGATAAAGTTCTATTAAAGATGTGCTCAAAATAAAAAATTTGAAAACACTTCATTAAATAATGCACCATACACAAACGTCTGGAGGAACTACGAAGAGCAGTAGTATACCCCCAAAACTTCAAATAATGTAATTATCAGGTAGAAGCTATTTTTTAGGTATATGTAAAATAATTAAGAGCATAAAATAAGGAATTAAGTGCCAGCACTAAGTACTACGGATAGACTATAGAGTTTAATGGAGTGTGAATTCATCAGATTCGTGCACTTAGATCACTGTGGTGACTGCATGGTAGGAGCATCCGAAAAACCAGACTGGAAACGAAGGCTGTTACAGTCATCAAAGAAAAAAATGATGGACTACACGAGGGTAGCGACAGCAGGTATAAAGACAGCGGACAGAATTATTTATAACCGCAGGGTTTGTTAACAGATCGATCATGGTTTGCAAGGCATTGAGAGAAGTCTGTAACTCCTAGGTTTCTGTTTTAAGTGATGGCTGAATGAAGAGGTCACGAAATGAGATAAGCAACGTGGGAGGAGGTGTTAGAAGGAAGAAGCTAAGTACAATCTGGTGCATGGCAGGTTTGAGGAACACCTTTACTGTGATGTTGAATAACAAGAAATTGAGTATAGTAATCTGAGCAATGATTTAGTTCTTCCTTCTTGAAAGCCTATATCCTGTAGACATCTGTGACTGTGTGCCCTTCTGATTTTAGACCTCAGTGACTTTTCCTGAATCCATCTGTTTCTATCCTCTGACCATTTCATAAATATCGGTCTTTCTAAAGATTCAGTCCATTGTTGACTGCTTTCATCTCTATTGTCCTTGGACAATTTTATTTCTATTTATTGCTTCCTCTGATAACTCAGAAATCTGAAATTCTAACCTAGATATTTCTGACTGACCAGGCGTGGTGGCTCACGTCTGTAATCCCAGCACTTTGGGACTCCAAGGTGGCCAGATCACCTGAGGTCAGGAATTTGAGACCAGCCTGACCAACATGGAGAAACCCTGTGTCTACTAAAAATACAAAATTAGCCAGGCATGGTGGTGCACGCCTGTAATCCCAGCTACTCAGGAGGCTGAGACAGAAGAATCGCTTGAACCTGGAAGGCAGACGTTGCGGCGAGCCAAGACTGCGCCACTGCACTCCAGCCTGGGCAACGAGAGCAAAACACCATCTCAAAAAAAAAAAAAAATTCACAATTACATAAAAGGAATTATACTTCATGACCAAGTGAAGTTTATTCCAGGATGCAAGACTGGTTCAATTTTCAGAAAACCAGTTATAATGCACCATATCAATAGCCTAAAGAAAAAAAAAATCACATGATCATGTCAATTACATTAAAAAAGCATCTGACAAAATCCAATATCCATTCATGAAAACCCTCTTAGAAAAATTGTAATAGAGGGAGAACTTCCTCAACTTGATAAACAGTAACTACAAAAACCTACAGTTAAAATTATACTTCATGGTGAAAATTTGAATGTTTTTACCCTAAGACTGGGAACAAAGCAAGGATGTCTGCTCTCACCTCTCTTCAATACAATGCTAAAGTTTTAACCCCTGCAACAGGCAAGCAAAGGAAAAAAAGAGCACACAGTTCGGGAAGGAAAAATAAAACTGTCTCTGTTGGCAGATGACATGACTGTCCACATAGAATATCCCAAGGAATCTACAAAAAGCCTTCTAGAATAAATGAGTTCTACAAGATTGCAGAATATAATATAAACATTCTATATGCCATTACTGAACATATAAATCCAAAATTAGAATTTCAGTACCATTTATAACTGCTAAAAAAAAAAAA